AAAAAAAAAAAAAGAATCATGTGTATGTGGCATATTTTATTAAACAGAATTGGGGAATGTTAAGGAACGCATTATAACATCTGTCTAATTGAGTCCTATAACAGCTATAAAGCCTTCCCCTCCCACACAGCCCTCACAACCATCACCTGAGACAAGGACTTCCTGATGAAATGACATACACAACTCTATCTTAAAAACCACATTAAATTCCGTTATTCCTTTCCACTAATCCCTTTATTTTTAGATCTGGTTTATGTGTCTAAGTATGAGCATAGTTGTTTCTTGTTCTCAATATTGGCTTTGTACTGGAATTATCTGGTGGGTTTTAAAGATAAGCATTCCTTAGCCGTACCATCAGAGAGTTGGCTTCATTTAGACTAAGAGTATGTGGTGAGGATGAAGAGTTTTCAAAACACGCCAGCACCTGCTAGCAGACAACCAACTTTCAAGACTTCAGGCTTAAGCTAAGTCATTGTTTATAAATAGCTATTCTGGTGAAACTTCATCTTACATACCTGTAACATATTTTCAGGAGAGATGACTCATTGGAAAAGGACATGATGGTGGAGAAACTACAATGTCTGTGAAAAACAGGAATACTTTCAAGAATGTGGATTGGCACAGTGGCTGTAACACTGGCTCAAACACAGCAAGGGTTGTGAAGGTGGCACAGACGAGAAATGTTTCCTTCTGTTGTGCATAGGGTCGCTATGAGTTTAACTGACTCAGTGGAACCTAATAACAACAGCAGCAACAGTAGGAGCCCCGGTGACATAGTTGTTACATGCTGGCTGCTAACCACAAGATCCACAGTCCTAACCCACCAGCAGCTCTGTTGAAGACAGATGGCCTTTCCACACCCATAAAAGTTGAGTCTCAGAAACTTAGAAGGGCACTTCTACTTTGTCCTATACTGTCACTATGAATCAGCATACACTCAGTGGCCATAAGTGAATAGCAGCTATTTGTCTTGGTTCCTTTAGTTCTCCTGGGATTATGCTGGAAGTCTTTAAGTCCTCAACGCATGGGGACATACATGAGAGAAACTACCCTAGAGATTCCTGGCAATGTAACTTTTCTCAAAATGCATGGTAATATTTCTAAGTAGATTTTTATCTCCACACACTATAGATTTTCTTATAGTGCTGGATATTAAGCTCTTGACTCTTTGACCTC